TTTCTTAAGCGTTGTAGCTATATAATTTCAAACATCCTCAAGAGCTATAACACATCTGCAGCAGAACTGGATATGAAGACAAAATTGCTGGACAGGAACACTTTAATTGTCCACTAATCTTCAGATTTCCTGCTATGTTTTAAAAAACTTTATTTGTGAAACCTTCAGAGTGGCGGACAGCTGGCCGCCTTAGGTGGCTAGTAACCAATAAAGCAGGATTATTTAACACTAAGAAATGATGCACAAGTGACATAAACTGACATAATTAATTAAGCTTAAACAATTCCATTTTTTAATTTTATTATTTTTTGCTTTTTCCGATGGCTTTATGTTATCAGATCTTTATATTCCGATGACTTTAAGTTCATCTCTTCAAAATGAAGATTAATTATGATCAGCATTATTTGGCACAATGCTGCTGTTTGAGGTATATTTCTGATAGTCATAAACAACCATTTATACACTTATCTAAGGTATCTATGATTTACTTATGCCCTTCCTGGTAGCTTTATGTTATCAGATTAAGAAAATCATGTTTTTTGAAGTTCATCCTTCGAAATAAACATTAGTTATATTCAGTATCATTTGGCGTAATGCTATTGATCAAGGTCTCAAGGTCACATACATCAAGGTTTTCTACATAATAGTAAAAAATTATCATGATCAACAATTTTTGTTTTAATTATCATATTAGAAACTTTTTCCCTTTCAAGGGTCCATAAAACCCTATTTCCACACAGGTATCATCACTGAAATTAAATATGCATCATTGGTGTCATAAGGCAATTTTTATAGTTTTTCTGGAGGAAAAATTATAGTTTCTCCGTTATTTTTGCAATATAAAAAAATTTTTTTTTAATTTTTATTTGTACCTATAACACTAAAACTAGTCAATTGTAATCCCTGTCATAAAAAATCTTCAAACTAATATTGAGTTTAATAATGTTTAAGTAAATATGATATTAATTACTTCAATATACATTTTAAAGGAAACCAGAAAACCAAAGGAAACCGACGATAGCAAAGATAAATAATTAGTAAAAACATGCAATAAAACTAATTAATAAACTGAAGCGCGGAATTTTGGTGCAGATTGGTTCAGAATTCCGGATTTGTACTATATACGTATAGAAAATATTAATATTCTGCTTTTTTTATATTGATTATTAAAACTTTCAGATGGTTATAAGTTTTTCTGGTTCACTATAATTTGCTTCTTACCATCTGCAAAAAGTTTTTGTTGAAAATCATCAGTGAACAGCAATTTGGCTGATATAACTATCTTCGCTGCTAGATATCATATATTTTTTACTTTATATCAGGCGTTGAACAGCAGACAAAATTCCGAGTTTACGACTATCTATGTTAAACTCCATAGTCCTGTAATTTTCAACCCAATCCAAAAAAATAAGGAAGTTCTTGGATCAAGCATTGGGACAAATTAGTCTTCATGGATCACTTTTTAATGGAACTAACCTGCAATCGCGATACATGTGGATGAAAACAACGGAATTCCATGGTTAGACAGATGACAAAGAGATTCTAACTACTAATACATCAGCAACTGAGGATATTTTACGTTTGTACTGTGGTCGGTGCGTGCCGGGAAGGGCAGAATTTGTATCCACCTGTCGTATCGATCACTGGTGTTCAAACATAGGTCAACTCATTGGCAGGCGAGCCCTCCATTACCTACCACGATTCTGTTGGATATAATATGATCTTAATATTTCTCTAAATACAATATTTGTTATGAAGCAAATGATAAATCAAAATGGTAGTCATTAACCGACTGAAGGTTCTGCGCGTAAAAAGTCGTATTTTAACTTGCTGTCCTTTCTGTATGGCAAAACCTGTATTTCCATGTTACTAGATAGAGAAAGAGAGTATAGGGAGAAACATTCTCTCAATTTTGTCATTTTACTAGACCACCAGGGAGTTGAAATCACAATAGAAAATTTAAAAAAAAGAGAATTCAGCGTTGGTTAGGAGAAATATCTGTTTAAGCTGTGTTTTTATCGGAAAAAATCACACCTTTTATTAACTTCCTATCAATAGCATATATCCATCAATTCACACACATTAAAGAAAAAAAAAGTTGAAGAATTTTTCTTTGTGATAATAAATTTTTCATAATTCTTATTTTTCAAATTTTTTTTTAAATAACTCAATATTATAAGGAGAATCTTTCAAGTTCTATTAA